CTTGTAGGTCAATCCCCAGAATCTCCGTAAAGGTGGAAGGAGAGAAGTCCTTCACAGAGTTGTTCTCTGGGTCTCTGTGCACCCCCAACAGTAATAATAATTAAAGATGAACAGAACCGTACCTCTTATACAATAAGATAACTATGTTAGTAGCATAAAGCCAGGTTGACTTTCTTCCTTAAATGTTTTTATTATGTAAACATTACAGTGCCAAGTGCAAAGGGTTTTTTTTTTTCTTTTTAAGTAGTGAAAGTGAAGAATCTAACTACAGTGCTGCATTTTAACACAATGATCACTAAGGTTAGCAAGCTTCCCTTGTTTTTCTCACTATACTTTTACATAGTTCTGCTCACACCAATTTGTGTCCCGTTCTGATCATTGTAATCACACAAGTATGCACGAATGTGATCGTTATAGAAGAAAACTAAAAGCTCCTTTGGCCCTGTAGCACAGAGACCTTTCCCTTCCCTCCTCCCTGAAGTAACTCCTGTCACAAGTTTACCTGCTTTTATTTTTAGAGCACTGTCAACGTACTTCTAGAACCTCATGCATGCGGGACAAGTGTTCAGCCTTCTACGTCTACTCTTACACAGGGAAATATGTGGTAATGTCTCAGTACATTCTCTACCGCTTGGATCAGAACATCACAGTTTCAGTAATTTCTAAATAGTAGGTGTCTTTTTTTTTTTTTTGCCTCACCGTTCTGAAGGCTAAAACATCCAAGATCAAAGACTGGAGAGGGCCTTTGTGTTGTACCATAAGGCGGCAGAAGGGGTCACAAGGCAAGAGGGCCCTCAGGAGGGACAGGGAAGGCACTCAGCCTTTGTAAGGTCGCCACTCCCATAATGTCAAAGAGACTGTCATGATCATGGCTTTAGTCCTTTCGTGAAGGCAGAGGCCTCCCAACCTGTTTGCTTCCCAAAGGTCTCATCTTTGAAAACTATCCTTTTGGGCACTACGTTTCCAACACGTTCAAACTAGAGCTATTTTGTGTTTTTCTTTGCAATAATGATTACATTTAGCAACTTGTTCCCCCCCCCATACAGATACTTTTGAAGTCTATCTTTATTGGCACATCTAGTTTGTTCCCTTTAGCCTTTGTTATATTCCATTTAGTGAATATGCCATATTTTATTTAGACACTCCCAAATGAATTCTTACTTTTTCCATTATGGCAAGAGGGCTCGTCCGTCAAGTCACCTGGCTTCCCTCCTTACCGCTCTGCCCACACCAGTGCAAAGAGACGAGTGAGAAAAATGAAAGCCCTCTTCATGAAGATGCAGAGACTTGGTCCTGAGATGATGGTTTTGAACGTCTAGATTCACAGTGCTTTTCAGCGGCAGTGTCTGTGAAGATGGAAATGCTCCATATCTGTAGTGTCCAAGAAGCTAGCCAAGTGAGCACATGTCACCAGTGGATACGTAAAATGTGCTCAGTGCAACTGAGAGGCTGCAGGCTTTCTTCTGTGATCCAGGATCTTCTGTAGCCCAGGCTAGCCTCAAACTCACCGTTACGTGGCTGAGGGTGACTTCAAACTTCTGATCCCCCTCCCCGTATCTCAGGACCAGGATTACAGGCAGGTATCAACACACCTGGCTGGCGATTTTTAAAATCTAAATTGGGCCACTTGCTGGGTGGTAAAGGTAAAATTCTTTTGTAAGTTGCATCATCAGAACTCTGAGACAATTGCAATACCTTCTAAAGGTCAGGGCAATGACACTAAGATCTTGTCTTCGTCCTTGTACGTGCTGGATTTTTAGTATCGTCTCTAGTTTCCTGACTTCTCTATGGGTCAAAAAGATGTGTTATCTATGGAAAAGACAAGGTTCCTGGAACATCTGTCTTTCTGGGAAATAACTCTACTCTGTAGAAATTCACCCCAACACCTTCACTTGACATTTACTCAGCCAACCCTCCGCAGTTATTCCATTAGCTCACGAAAAGTTTTGAGGATGACAGAGTATGTCCCAAAGTCAACAGAAAAGTATAAACACCTTACAGAAATGGTCTTGGCTGAGAGTCAGCATTGTTCAGCTAGTTTGGTTGTGTGTCATAAACGGGGTTTAGATCCAGAGAGCACGGATGTACTTTTTTGTTTTCTGTAAATGCCTCCGGGGCTCCCTGAGTCCCCATCTAGATCTCCTTTATCCCCAGAAGTTTCCAGGCTCTTCCATATAGCCTGCAAAAGCTATAGCTCACACGCACAGGCATGTGGTTATGCAATTTGCTCCCAGAGTGGGCTCAGGAATGTCCAGATCTAGTGTCCAGTTGGTCTTTGCTGGTAGTATCAGGCAGATATGACAGCTCACGTGGGCTGAAGAAATACACAGCCTGCTCCTGGGAGGAATAGGGAGAGGCTTAAAGGCATAGATACATATAGTCTTAATACAGACAATAAAATACATGAAACTTGCTGGTTATGCCTGTAATAAACATCCTTTACTAGCACCTCTCATATGGGCATTGATCTATGAAAGTGTACCTATCCTCTTCTCTTTCCAACCCACCCTCATTTCCTGTTCTTTCATGTTTACCTTCTCTGATCTCTCCTTAGTCCCTTTCTCCCTCCGCTTTTGGCAGTTTCCACTGCTGATCCCTGTTCTTTTTTTCCCCCCTGGGACCAGCTTTACAGCATCCTTCAATAAAATCATGCACTCACTTAACCTGTAAGTGGTACGAGGCCATTAAGATATAAGTTAAGGGGGCTGGAGAGGTGGCTCAGTAGTTCCCAGGTTCAATTCCCAACACCCACATGACAGCTCACAACTGTCTGTAGCTCCAGTTCTAGGGGACCAGACGCCCATGGCAGAACACCAATGTACATTAAAAAAAAATAAGAATAAATACATTTTAAAACAGATGTAAGTTAAAGAGAAAGGCATAAACACAGCACCACTTACTTGTGATAGTGGTTTGGTGTACCAGGGCCCTCCTACTTTGTTTTCAACTTTTAAAAATCAAAGTCCCTTCCTCTACTGAACAAGTAGTACATCTTGACTAAAGAAAAAATTATAATGTGGCCGGGTGGTGGTGGCGCACACCTTTAATCCCAACACTCAGGGGGCAGAGGCAGGCAGATCTCTGTGAGTTCGAGGCCAGCCTGGTCTACAGAGTGAGTTTCAGGACAGTCAGGTCTATACAGAGAAACCCTGTCTTCGAAAAACAACAACAACCCCCCCCCAAAAAAAAACCCAAAAAATACAAGAGTTCGTACAGTATTAAATAGCAATGTTTGATATGAAGCACATGTAGATCGTGCCCCTGCAATCTCTACACTTGAGACACCAGGGCCATGAGTTTGAGGCCAGAGTAATTACAGAGTGAGAACCTGTGGAAAATATCTTCAGTTTTTCAGTGACTAGTGGGTTCTTCTGTAATTTTATTTTGGGCTCTGAGGAGTTGGACCAGGCTCCTTGCACATGGTAAGCAAACACTGCTGCGCAGCTGCATCTCCGGCTCCTCTCTGCGAGTTAAGGAAGTACAACGATAATGGATTGTGTAGCAGTCAGGCCCTTCCTCTCCGTGATGTACCGGGAGAGCCCTTGCTTGGCAGCAGAGCACTTCCTTTCCATGATGGTAGCCTGATGGAGTAGAAAGAGAAAAAGGACTTTGGGATCAGACATTCTTTTTTTTTTTTTTTTTTTT